TAGACCTTACCAGGGAGGCTTAAGAGTGCGACCCCCCTGTAATTGGAGCACACCCTCCGGTCCCCCTTTTTAAACAGGGGGACCACCACCCCAGTCTGCCAATCCAGGGGTACTGCCCCCGATGTTATGTATGTTAATTTCATAAATTTACGTAAGCTTTGTAAAGTACTATATTGGTCTAAACTGGTCTCTAAACAATATTATCGTTTATCGCAGTAATTTGGGACAATTTTATCGTCCAGCAAAATTTATTATCGTGACAGGCCTACTATTTAAACATTTGTTTACATTTTCAATAAACAACTGTTTTTCTCCACACCACTAATTTGTGCTTCAAATCATAAAATTCACTTTGAGCTTTTTAATAAAGTCTTTGGTTACATTTTATATTGTGGTGTTTTAGATTAATGGATTAATCGAACTATTAGTCAGCCATTCAAAATAAAAATACCCGTTAGTGCTATTTTTAGCTCACTGGTGTGGTTTATTGCGCAGCAAAGATCTGCATGATTTATTTGGTTAAATTTGAAATGATCTTGTTGGAAAGTTTCTTATCCTAATCAAAAACAACCACTGACAAGATACTGTTAAATTATTATGAGGAAGATTTGTTCAAACACATGATTAATATAAACATTGATGTTTAATTTTTGTTTTAATCTGCTGTACAAAGAGTGGAAAAAGTCATTTTCTTTTAAAATCTTAGTTGTCTTGAGAGGKTTGTATAATTTCCTGTCATTAACTTCCTGACAGGATTTTCCGAGTTGGATAAATGTTTTAATTGTCCTGTTATTAATTAATTCCTTCAAACAGAGCTGTGAATGTATGTCCAGTTTAATCAGGACAGTTTAATTTCTCAGTCGTGAGGGAGAAGCTTCACTTCWTTCTCTTCTTTCCTGTCTCAGATATTTTGCACTCGGGCTGCTCCATCACAGTAACGGTCAGGATTCAGCAGCGCTGCAGGTTTGTTTCACMTAAACTCTGTTGAAATCTGTTCATCTCAGCAGATTATCCTTTGGAAATGGAAACARTCTTTATTTTTGTCTTTCTAGTTGTGGATTCGTGTGGTGGACGGAGAGCTGCAGGACTTCACTCGATCAGATCTTTATGAGTACATCGTGGACTTCCTCTGCTGCTCCTCTAACCTGGATCTCGTGTGGAAGTTTGCAGACTGGGCCCTGCGGAAGGATCCCACCGTAGGTTACTGAAAATGTAACTCTGCTGTCCAGTTCTTAGTGCAACTCTACCCAAATCTACTGTAATCAGAAAAATGTGACCCGTCAGTCTTCATGCTCAGAAACTTGATTTAAAGTTTTTAAATCCTTTCAAGAAATGTGGCGTGTATTAAAGGGTTTGTGTACTTTTTGATTATTGAAAAATTAAAAGTGGTGGTTATTCTGTTTTCATTTTAYRCTMAAAAAAACAGGGAAAATGTTCATCCTTTTATTATGTGAATGCTTTTCTTCTACACGTTTTTCAGCACAGATCTCGCTCCACAATTTTTATGCTATTTCAACAGTTTATATATCAAAACGTTTAGCTCCTTCAGGACATTTCAGCTGTGACTTCTAGTACTTCAGCAGTTTATACTTTTTTTTAAATATTCAGCTTAACTTGCTTTATTTTTCTCATTAAAACTGGATTGAGCCATCTTCAACATTCTTAAAACCTTTCAGAATGTTATAAATCTTTACTGTACTTTTTTACCTTTTTGTTTTGGTTCTTTTTTAACTTCTTTGTGCTAATTTTAGCTTCTATTTTGCAGATTTGTAGCTTTTTTTTAAGCTATCATTTTGACCTTTTCTATTCTTTTGCTTCTTCATTCACACTCCAGCATTCACACTGCATTTTTGCAGGAAATGCAAATTCTCTATTGTTGTTATTATTTATTTATTTATTTTTCCAAACTGGAAGTTTAACATTGTTGTCAATACAACGCTGACCTGTGGAACCTGCTGCAAGTTCTTCATAAAATACTTTTTCGAGAAAAGCTTCATGAGCCAAAAGCATCAGAAGCTCCAGGAAACATCAGTGATACATAAAATATCAGTAGTTAAAAAAAAAAGAAAAAAAGTAAAACTAGTTAGTTAGCGTTTATCGCAGCTGCCTGGTTAACTTGTTATAAAGTAAAATGTTTATTCATCCTGTTATCAGACCATTTAAGGTGGAGCTAGATCGTTATTTTTTTAATAAATTAGCTAGACTAGTTATAATTATAAAAGATCAGTCTGCAGTTAGTTAAAGAAATGTAAAATTAGTTAGCTAGCATTTATGCATTTATTCACAGTTAGCCGCTTGTTATTAATAGGGGTGTAAGAAAATATCGATACACTGAAATATCGCGATATTTCATTTCTCGATACTGTATCGATATTCTAAAGCCCTGTATCGATTTTTTTTATTAAGGTTTAAAATGTCAAC